CCGATCAACAAGACGATCTGGTTTGGATGGAAGATTGGATCACGTGGACACGTCTTATGCAACACAGTATACCCTAGTTGATTTGAACTGATGCAAACACATTTGACGAAATCGTGATCATATGGTGTCTAATAATGTTTTTATTGGTTTGCGATGCCATTAAATGGCCACTACTGAATTTGTTTCTGTAGCCATTATTCAGCCTCAGTTCTTTTATAGACTGGTTTTTCAAGACCAGTATCACAAAGTTCACGAGTCAAATGAGTCAATGCGAAACGTCGGGGATCACCGGCACTACANCTAAAGGGTCAGTTCAGATCAGTTCCTTGTTCTAGAAGTAATTGCAGAGAAGCCAATAACTCAAATTTTAGCCAGAATGGGATGAGTAACGATTGAATAAAACGTTTATTCTCGGTTTCGGGTGGAAGACTCCTGTTACGAGATCCAATACTCAGGCTAAAATTTAGGCTCCAACGAATCTGGCAGAAACGGAACGTTTATAATGAATAAAACATTCAAACTCGTTTAAGTTATTTCCTTTTGAGGTGTTTACATTTCATTGTTTCTTGGCAAATTTTGCAATCAATATTCCAAAGAGGTGGGTGGGGTGGGATGATCAATCTAAAAAAGATGCTATGTAGCACAATAGAGTGGGACTGGTCGCTGATGTTGGTGGTGGTGTTGGTAGTAATGGGGTGGTAATCGTGGTGTCCCCGAACCAGTCCCAGCCTGTACCGAGATTTGGAGTGCTTGAACAACGACCATTAATGATCTACAACAGAGTTTTTTTGGATTCCATGACTGAAAAACTAAAACAAAACAACCGATCAGTTTTGCCGAGCATCGTCAACGAGCTAACTAACGGATATGAATCCTGACAACTGTGTTATTATACATCCAATGAACGGAAGTAAAATATAATGTAAAAAAGTCAAATACACGTAATTTGAAACAATCACTGAATGCAGGCCTTCTCAGGCAGTGATCGACGGGATTCATCATAATAATTGAATTATATGTATATATATATGATAATAAGTAGTATGTGAATGACTGGATAAAATTTCCCTGGAAACACACGACCGGTTTCGCGGTTCTTGCCGCTCGTCAGGCATGCGTACTCGGCAATCTTTTGTGAGTTCATTCATATACTTGTACCTAGGAGGTATATATATATATATTTATGTATTACATTTTATTCAATGCAGAAGAATACTTGTTTGCAACTTTTACTGATTATTATTCAGAAAATTCATTATTACAAGGAGATATAAAATCGGAACAGGCACAGAACCAAGTGCTTGCGAATTGATCGCTGTAGGTAAGAAAGTAAGAAAGTAAAATGCAACCTCCTTTGGCTATCTTGTGGATACTCCACTCCGACTCCTAATTGCACAGTATACTTTATTTTGTCAAACGGTGAGCGGCCGACCAACCTCATTCATCACAGTGTTACAATCTCCGCTGAGGTGGAATTCACACGGTTAGGGATGAATCCATCAAATCCGGTGGAACTGAACGATATGAGAACAAGTTAACATAAGTGAATCGACACTACTACAATTATGAATTTTCGAACAAACGAGTATTGATAAACCGTAAGGTGTGATGTGTTGTTCCTTTTTGGACAGTTGGCGTGTAGTTTTTATTCTAGAGAATGGACGACATGATTTCTCGTATGGGCGCATTGGTGCTTGTGATTGGATGAATTGTGATGCATGCACCGAGGTCATTCAGTGACATGATGAATTCAAAGACCCAGCAACATCCAGGATGATTATTTTGCGTCATCTATGGTCAAGTATGGCGGACTTATTATTATTGATGGCTTTGCTTTAATTTTCGCTCTCCTGATATATGTCCGTGGACAACGGAGACGTTTTACTGAGATACGTTCCCGTAGATCTGTTCTCTGCTTGCTATCCACGAAAAGTGGCCCCCAATGTGTGTATCACTCGAAACACTACGGTACTTCTCGATCAGCCTTGAATTTTACCATATGTGCTTATTTGACTGTGGCGCTGCAACAGCTAGCTTAGCTTATCGGCATCCAGTTAATTTTGGGGAATAGTCTCACAGTGACCTCTCCTCTAGTCTTACAATATTGATTTGGGTACTCCTTCATTCACTGTCCTCTCGCCGGGAACATTCGCCGGATCAATTTTATGCTGAATTAGTTCAGTTAGTCCGGTTCATTTAGATCTTCTAGACTTACATTTTCGATTTGAAGGAAAAAAATTTTCTTTTATTTTACTGTTCACTAGGTGAACATGTCTCACCTATTACAAGAAAGGGAAAGCCGCACACGAACAAAGTCTAACTTCCTGAGAAGCTTTGTTTATATTGTCCAAGTGCTCTTACATCACTGACACATGTACAGTAGTGAAACGCTGTTAAAAGAAAACACGTTCATTATCACAAAGAAGAAATTAATCGTGTATATGGCAAATGAAGCCTGAAGTGAAAAGCTAGGAAGCCCTGGACAGCTGTTTTGACCTGGTTGGGTCTCATCAGTAGTGCGAATCCAACGACCCCAGGACTGGACAGGCAGAACACAAGCATGCTATCCACTCGGCAACCGGGCAACTGATTAGACCGTTTTTCATTTTCCATTTACACGATATAGCACTAGTCTCCAGGGTTATGACTCAGTTGGAAACACTAACAATCTGAGTAATAAATTTATTGGGGTTATGGAGGATTTGGTTCATTTTCAAAGGGAAATTAGTGGTGTATGGAGCAAATGAAACGTAAGGTATTGGGTCAATGGATTTGCACTGGTGCTGATGAGACTGAAACAGGTCGAGACAGCTGTCTAGTTCTTCGTAGCTTTTCAGTTTGCGCTTCATTTTCACTATACATGACGAATTCCCTCTATGAAATTGAATCAAATCTTCCATTACTCACACCTTTATGATCATTCATTCAAGTATAACCGGGCCGCACAGTCAGAACGAGTTTAAGATGGAATCGTGCTATTTTAGGGCGGCCATAGAAAGTCAGGATAAACAGATGACCATCTAGCACGTCCCAGAAAAATACATTTCGATGCCTCATTGAGTCTATGATTTGCGCGATAATCACTCAGTTAAGGTTATCAGCCAATTGTTCCAAAGTTGGAGTGGTCGAACATCATCAAGGCCGCCTAATTGTCTCTTGTGGATTATATTGTATGGAAACTCCTTTTACACTCCAATTCAACTTTGCTGAAAATGTGTTTACTCAATTATACATTTAATAAAAAAGGAATAAATAGAATATAGGACAAAACTGGGTACCATGTATCCGACCCAGGCAATCACGCAGTCACACAAACACGCATATATACGTGCCATCGATCGATCGATTGATTGTCAGCAGACGTGTAGCAATCAGTGAATGCCCTAATCCACAGGAGTGACCTTCAATTTCGACATGTGTTTCTGCGCGCAATTCCCCGTACACCGTTCACCGGTGCTCAAATATTCACTTGATCTACTTATATGTTCGCTTGAACCAGTGTAGTACTACACAAACCGAAGTGATTGTTCGTATAACAAAAGAATAGAACGGCGCACAGATAGGCTCTTTCTCTCATCCCGTTCACGCCGCAGAGGAAGAGCTAAAACATAAAATATATGGGGACAAGCCAGTACCATTCAACTGTCGGGCCCAATAAGTGACAAAAACGTTTTGTCATTATTGAGCGAATACAGTTGAAAAGTTTGACCAGTGTTGCAGTGTACGATGTAAGCATATTTTATACAGAAGAGCGTTATGCCAGGTGTAGGTTTCATTATGACTCGACTGAATAAAATATGACAGTTTAAATAGACACACTGAACTTGCTAATTACACGACAATCACAACAGATACCATTAGACACAAAATCAGCACACCATTACAAGCATGTGAAAGGAGCGCTTATGCAATCAAACGATGCATTTTGACAACCACAAAGCTATTTTGTTTGTGGGTCAGCCACCTTTTGGGGTACAAGGTGATCGTCTGTGAAAATCATGATGAGCAAGGCTTTACAGGAGGTTAACAATTTTGGAACTGACTAACACGACGACGTCATAAATCTATGCTCAAAATAAAGAAACCACTTTTGCTAGCCATTCACCGCAGTCCCTCTCTCCCTACGCATCTTTCAAACAAAAAATATATTCAATTTTGGAAAACCATGATTGATATTAGTGGTTACCTGCAGACAATTGGGGTTTCTATCACAAGCAGATGAGGAGAGTAGATAGTTCATGCGGAAA